CGCAGTCGGTAACGCCCGACTGCAACGTTCTTACTTGTTTTTTTTCTAAATACACTCGACTACTTTTTATGACTCTTAAAGCTTATCACACAGCTGAGCTGCCTTGAGCAAAAATGTTCCAAATATCAAAAAGGTGTTTAAAACGGAATGATGTGACATGGCTGCATTTTAGAAACTGGGATTTTACAATAAAAAATTATATAAAATTTAAAACTACATTTAAATTCCCTTAGGCACTACTTTATAAAATTCTTATAATTTAATGTGGTTTTATTTTTTTTTTTTTAATGTCTTTAAAGGAATTTTGCGTAAGGTAGGTCAGGACAATGGCATAAAAAAAGCCCAAGTCTAGACAACATATTATCGCTGTAATTCTTTGATTTTATAAGTAATTTTTGGTGTAACTTAAACTCAGCTGGCTAATCCCTGCAGACTTCGAATTGATTCTGAAAGCTGTGCCAAGCCGATCAAACAAGCCCGATAAAATGACTTTGAATTGAGTACTTAAATGGCATTCAGTCTAGGGCTAGCTAAACTTAAAGTTAACTTTTCGTTCTTTATTACGTCAGACGCCAACAAAAACGAAACTTGGCTCACCTCGGCGACAGCTGAACCGAGTTCAGTTGGTGGCCTGCCATTTGCTATTGTCCAAATTAGCATTTTAAACACCTCTTACTTTGGGCAAATGATATGGCACATGGAAAGCTCCTCAGTTGGCGTCAGCTGCCGCTTCTGCTGCTGCTTCTCCTGCTTCTGCTGCTGCTGCTGCTGCTGTTGGCAGTTTCCCAGGCAGGTAAGTCGGCGACGCGTGTGTGGCCTTTTATGGTCGTTGGCAGCAAGTTTTTTGGCTATCAGCCGACAACCAAATTGAACTTATGTCTGTGCGTGTGTCAGTGACTGTCTCTGTCCGTGTGTGTGTGTGTGTGTGTGTGTGTGTGTGGCGGGAGTCAGTTTGGCTACCTCGCTTATATGGTCAGTCGAACTTTCAATTAACACACGGCGCATCCTCAACCGCTGCAAAACGTTTTCACGCTCTATGACCAAGTTTGGCCCGGCAGTTTGGTCACAACATCTTGGCCAATGCGCCATGGTACATTAATTGCTGGACGTGGCCGGGCTGTGGGACGGCGACTGGTACAGGATTTGCGGCTAAGCGTTTATTAACACCGAATTAATCAACGAGCGTTTGACAGCTGACTGATTTGTGCCGCCCAATTGCCGCGGCTCTGCGCCAGAACCAACGTGGCGCCACGGTCCAGCCGGAAATTTCTAATTATGCTCAAGTCACAGTCTAAGAGCCGGGGCAGGGCCGCACGCCCACTTGTCGCTCGATTTGTTTGCATTTAAACCGTGAACGCTTAAGGCCGGCAGCCAACAGCCAACAGACCGAGCTCGTTAACCGGGTCCAAGTCGCAATTGACGGCATTTTTGCTTTGATCTATTCGCAACTTTGTCCATAAACGCGTGCCGGCAGCCGAGCTGCGGGCCTGATCGGCGCTGTGAAGTTGGGCTTTGTGTGTTCGACACATTAGCAGGCGGCACGCCCATAAATCTTGAGAGCTGCATTAAAAGTGCTGACGAGCTGTATGCCAGCAGCTTGATCAGAGCATGGGCGAGAGGGGCGAGAGGGGGCGGCACAAAACGTTGCATATCATTAAAAACGGCTGCTTTAATTTGGCTTTAATTGGCTTGACGCGTTGCGTGCCGCTCGCTGCTCAGTGGACTATGTGCTACATATTAAGGAAACATGAGCATAATGGCAATTTACACTCTCTGATACACAGAGAGAGAGAGACAGAGAGAGAGAGAGACAGAGAGGGAGAGAGACAGACACGCACAGCCAGTTACACACTTGCGTATATATACATACATATATAGGGCGACGCAATTAACATGACATGCTGCTCACGTTGGCCTGATTGGGAACGNTATATAATATATAAGAGGCTCCTTAGAGAATGTTTTAATTTTAGGCAATATAAACAATTAAAATAAATATTTGGATGTATAATTTTAGTTAAATAATTTTATTTCAACTTCATTTGCTGCCGCCAATCATACCCTGCCCAAGGAGCAGAGTATGAATAAAATTGTGCGTGTCTGTTATGAGGCAGCGATGGGCGAACGATGCGAGGCGTGGCACGAGTCGGCCATAACTTAGTCAGTGCTTTAATTTTAATTATTGCCAGGCCCCCACTCGGCTCAGGCCCCACTCAGCCACTCAGCCCAGAGGGGCCATGTGGGTCTGACTAATTTGCCAGCAACATGACACTGTTGCCAGAGCTCAGCCCCGAGCCAGAGCCAGAGCCGGAGCCGGAGCCACAGCCACAGCCAGAGCCACAGCCAGAGCCCAGCGCGGAGCTGCCAAGCATACACTCTCGGATACGCACGCATCAGAGTGAGGCGGCTGATTAAGCTGAATAGTTGGCCAGCTGGTTCACTAGCGCGTAGCCATTCACGGTTTGGCGGGTCGGTTCGACTCGGGCTGGCTTTTGGCATGCGTTTGCGTTTGCGTTAATTAAGCTGCAGTGCAGCAGCGCCGCAGCACGACGCTGGCTGCGTGTTGGCCATGTGGCTGCGTCTGGTAATCTCCGCGGATTAATGCGACACTTTGCAGTTAACAGAAGTCGTGTTGTGCTGCTGGCGCTGCCACAGCTACTCTTTGCTCTTTTGCACGCTTGTTAACAATATTTCGAGTTGTTGCCCGCCGATGTCGAGCAGCGGCTCGAGCGGCGAACATGTGGCCTGCGGCCAAGCGGCAGTCATCAATGCCACACAGTGGGGCAGTCACTCCGAAATGCAGCTGAATGCACATATGTATATGTATATGTATTTGTGCATATTTACTTATGTCAATAACAAACTGTAACTTCATGATTGGAGAGGTGGCGCCCGTTGTTTGCATTAACCCATATCCGAGCAGGAGGAGCTCACATTTCATATGCATCGACCAGTAATCTCTCGCCGCCCGCTGTGCCTTCTATGGAGCCAGGTATGTATTTGCCGATGCTGGCCAAACTATGCGCCTGTTGAATAATTAAGCAATACGTTAATTGTTTAAACAAGTTACTGCTGCTAACGCTCTTTATATCGATTGGCTGTGATGGCGAATGGGACTGCATTAACTTTGCAATTAAATACATTGACATAAAGCAAAGTTTGCCATGCAATTAAGTGCGATCAGGAGCTTACCTTGGCGCGCTTAATCAGCTCAGATTGGGCTGCGAGCACATTGTCCTTCCGGCCGCCCCAGGATCGCAGAGCCGAGGCCTGCAAGGCACGCCCGAAGGCRAAGGTCAGAGCCCAGGGCTTGCACAGCGGCACATTGTTGACGGCATTCAGGTTAATGGAGGCCTCCTCCTCGGACATGCCGCCCGATAAGAACATTACGCCTGCAGGTGAAAGACGCATTTCAGACTCGAGTTSACTGCATTTCAAGTACTGACTKGGCGCTTACCGGGCACAGCGGGGGGGACAGTTCGACGCAGAGCCAAAATGGTGGCCAGTCCGATTTCGCCGGGCGTGTTGTTCTTGTTGCTGTTCTGGCCAGCAGTCACCATGCTGGGGCTGAGGATCAGGCCCTCCAAGTAGACGTGGTGATCATTCATGGACTTGAAGACGGCAGCCAGCACGGCCTCGGTCACCTTTTGACAGCGATCCAAGTCGTGGTCCCCCACCATCAGCACCTCGGGCTCCACAATGGGCACCATGCGCTGCGACTGGCAGATGGTGGCGTAGCGGGCCAGAACGTTGGCATTCTCCATGATGGCCTGATAGGAGGGCGTGTTCCTATCAATCTTAATGACCGAGCGCCACTTGGCAAAGTCGCAGCCGTCCTTTTTGTACTGAGCACAGCGCAAATGCAGATCATCCAGGCCCTGGGTGGTGAACTCGTCCATGGAGCAGTAGAGCGGAACCGAGTTCTTGTCCACCTTGATGCCTGGAATGATGCCCTTCTTGCGCAGCACTTCGGCGAACGACTGCCCGCCGTCGGTCTTCTGGTAAAGGGTCTCGTGGAACATGAGTACGCCCGACACGGTCTCCGATATCTTGGGGTCCGTGGTGAAGAGCAGCTGGCGATACAAGCGCCGATTCTCTTCGGTATTCTCAACGCCAACTGTTTGAAATCGCTTGGCCATAGTCGATATCGATTCATCCGCGGAAATGATTCCCTTGCCGGGCGCAACTAGAGCCTTGGCGATGCAGGACAATTCCTCCTGCACCTCCTTTGTCGGATAGTAGAAATATGTCGTCATTCTGTTACTTACACAAAATTTGGAACCCTATGGATATCAGTCAAACAAATTTTTTAAACTAAAGCCAGACATCGAGTGTACGCAGTTCAACTGACGGCAGCAACTAAGGTAAACGGATTGGTCAATTTAAGTTTGAAAAGTATGAAAAAAATGTAAGACACAACATTTTTGTGTGCCATAAATTGATTAAAAATAAAGTGTTTCATATAAATAAATAAATAAATGTTTTATTATACATTTATGAATTAAATNTAATTAATAATAATTAAATATTCATTTTGTAGTCCACGAAGAAGAAGGCGTGTGGATGAATTAATGTGATTCGCTCCTCTTACTCAGCTTAACGTTTTCATTCTGAATAAGAAAAACTTCTTAGTTATATATTTTTTCAAAATACTGTTAACYMTCCCTTTTYCCAYTMGCTAAGCRAGCGACTTACGTAATTTACAATTAACCCTATATCAAATTTACTTTTGATTTATAAACCACTTGGCTCTGTTTGCATTTATGAGTTCATTAAGTTGCTATTGTTAATCCCTGTGTTATTTAGAAAAGTTCTCCTTAATTTATGGTTCTTATATTAGGCTGCACCTTTGGCGTTTATCACTTCTTAATTGTTGACCGCAGTCGCGACCGCAGCTTAATGATATTCTAATTGGAGTTTTAATTGCTTTCTTCGTCGCGCTGGCTGAGACTGAGACTGAGGTTGAGGCTGAGGCTGAAGTGGCTTTTCATTTGAAATACTTACTTTTCGATAGCCGCAGATTAGAGAGCAATCTGGACAGGGTCATAAGCCAAGAAGAAGAGCGCTGGATAAACTTGCCGCACATTAATTATATTTTAGCCGCAATGAGGAGCACAGTAGATGCAGCCTGGGCAGCTTCTCATTTTTATGGCTTTCACACGCACATTTTATGGCAAAAGTTTTGTTAGCACAAATTATACGCAACGGCGCGGCGTTGCCAATCTATGTGTATCCGTGCTATCTGGCAGCATGGCCAACTTTTGTGATGCAAATTATAAGCGTATTGCGTTGCGGGGGCAATTTGCACAGCGTAAATTGAATTTTAAAAACACAGTTTTTCCAAATGGTTTCTCCCTCGTTTTCATTCTGCTTCTTCTGCTTCTTCTGTGTCGCTGTCCAATTATTTTCAGTTGCGAAGCAAATATCACTCATATGACGATAATTCTAATTGGCGTGGGAAACGCAATGGCTGTGCCGCTTTTTATTTATTCTTTATTATCTGCAATTATTTTCTTGTTGTTTGTTTACTTGTTTTTTTTTATTTTTTTATTGCAATTGAATTTCTGTGAGCAGCTGCGGGGAATACTTTAAAAGGATCGCTGGCGAGACACTAGCCTAATTTTGTGTAAATTATYGCACGAATTATGAGTCTCGAATGTGAAAAATTTGCCAAAAATAGTCAGCATCGTTAAGTTCGATAAATATCAGACACCGCCAATGTGCAGTCAATAAGTCGATTGGATCAGCTTGGCTTTTCAATGCGACTGCTCTGGATGTTCGTGTGAGTGTGAGTGTGAGTCAAGTGGCTGTTCAGTCAGCTGAGCTCAGCAGTATCAATATTCAAGCGCCAATTAGGCCAGACACTGCTAACCACTTGCTGCTCGCACTGGCCCAAGCGTCTGGCCAATAAATCTACTGTAAATCTTCGCAACAACTCGCTGGCGGCTCAAAATGTCTTTGCACCTAATTGAGCTTGGCGCTGACTCAGCAGAGCCAGCCGTATCGCAGCGGCAGCAGCAGCAACAGTCGAGGCAACGTTGTCACAGTAGCTTAAAAATTATTAATTGATTATCTTTAAACGTTTTAATTGAAATGAGCGTGCGCGCACAAGACAGAAATGCGCTCAGCTAGCTAGTTGACTAGCCAATACTCTAGGATATTAAGGAAGTATTTCTCTGTCTGTTACAATGGAAAGTTGCATTGTTAGGAAAATTGTGACTACTTTAGCAGCTCTCTTAATATAAATGATAAATGTTATATATGTATAATATAACATTTTTATTAATTATTAACATATTTTTTAACTAGTTGGCTTTCACCTGAACCAGTTTGATAATCATATGAACACATACGTAATTTGTAAATTGATTAAATATTAAATA